CTTCAGAGATCATAGATGTGCAGTTGATTATGATTATTTTGGTGATGTGCTATCAGTTGATACAACTTACAAAACAAATAAGTACAATTTGATTTGTGCTCCATTTGTTGGTATAAATCACCATGAAAAAAATGTGATGTTTGGTCTTGCATTTTGTGTGATGAGACGGAGAGTTCCTTTGAGTGGTTGTTTTCTACTTTTCTTGCTTCTATGAATGGAAAACAACCTCAAGTTGTATTTTCTAATCAATGTCAAGCAATGATGAATGCTATTGATAAAGTGTTCACTCATTCGCATCATCGCTTATGTCAGTGGCATATCAACCAAAATGCTCCATCTCATTTAGGAGGTTTGAATGGTGAATCGAAGTTTAAACAATTGTGGTATAAATGCATGACATATTGTGATTCTGAAGATGAGTTTGAGGCTACATGGAAGCTAATGATTGATCAGTACAATCTTGGTGGTCATAGATGGTTAAAAGGGATGTATAAACTGAGAAAGCGATGGGCTACGGTGTTTAGTAATGACAGATTTTGTGCAGGTCTTGTAGCCACTTCAAGAAGTGAGGTTACAAATCGGGCTTTGAAAGACCTGGGCAACAAGGCTCTTACTTTGCATCAATTTGTTTTGAACTATGAAAAAGTTCAAGATAAATGGAGGTCGGTTGAGAAAGATGATGATGCTCATTGTAGCCATGGGAGGCCGGGCCAAATTGTTAAAAATAATCCCTTGTTGTCGCACGCGGCCGAAGTATATACTTTCTCCATCTATAAGTTGTTCGAGCGGGAATTTGTGGAGTCTTTGAATGTTGTTCTTATTGATCAGAATGATTTCGACAATGGTTGGGTTGGATTCAATATGCGGTCACATAACGACAACTCAAAGGTTAGGCAAGTGTTCTTTAAGAAGTATGATATTGAAGTAAAGTGCTCATGTCATTACTTCGAAACAATGGGAATACTATGTAGACATGCACTAAAAGTTTTCATTTCTATGAATATCATTTTGTTGCCTGAGCCATATATAATGAGTCGGTGGTCAAGAAAAGCCGAACAAAGGTTTTGTACTGAATTTGAAAGAACATGTACTCCTCATGGAACTAGTAGTGGTTCTCAATTGACATTTGTGAATCACGCAATGAGGAATTCGTATGATTTGGTGCATTTGAGCAAATCTCACAAGGAGACAAGAAGTAGATTCAATGAAATCATCGAAGATGCAAATGAAGAAATAAGTTGTCTTTTGAAGAATTTGGACATGGATGATTCATGTGATGAATTGGTTGATGAAGGTAATGTGCGTGTCCGCAATCCACCTCCGGCCAAGACAAGGGGAGTTACAAATGCTCAAATAATACGTCATTGGGACGACAAGAGCAAGAAAACAAAAAGGGGCAAAGAAAAGGTGGGAAATTCAAGCAAGTCAAAAAAGAAGAGTCAAAAGGTAAATGATGGTTTTATGATTTTTTTTTCTACAAAAATGTTAATAAAATTAAAGTATTAAATTAATACCTTTTTATTTATTTTATTTTAATGTGTAGGGAGGAAATACAATCATCAATTTAGGTGGCCTGACTCAATCTTCTCCACATGATGTCAACACGGAAGAGGCAAATAATGTTCCACATTATCCATCTCACTCTTCAATGCTTTGGCCTAACATAAATCAATGGGTAAATGATGCTTTAATGATTTTTTTTCTACAAGAATGTTAATAAAATGAATACTTATTTATTTATTTTACTTTAATGTGTAGGGAGGAACTACAAATATCAATTTAGGTGGTCCAGCTCAATCTTCTCAAAATGATGTCAACACGGAAGAGGCAAATAATAAATATTCCACATTATCGGCCTAGCATAAATCAAATGATGCATTTATGATTTTTTCTACAAGAATGTTAATACTTTTTTAGTTATAAAATGTGTACGGAGGAAATACAAACATCAATTTAGGTGGTCCATTCAATTTATTTGGTTATCAATTTGATCCCTCTTCATCACAGGTACATCAAATCTAATGCTTTGTAAATTAATATTTAATAATTTATTATTCTTATTTTAATCTATTTTCTTATACAGGGACAATCCAATAATTGAAGATAATTGTGATTTGAAGTTAGCAAATGCTCATTCTCATGTTTTCTAGATTGACTCTTTATAGTGGTGTAATATTGTATTGTTATTAGAGACATTTATTTTGTGGATTGTTTTTTGAACTTGATTGAATTTAATAGAATGATGTAATATAATGGAACTTTTTGTTTCTGGTTTCAGCTTTCTTTTCAAGGTTGAATGAATATGATTAGATTAAGTTGTGCTCTTTTTATAGGTAGATTAAGTTGTGCTCTTTTTATAGGTTTCAACTTGATGTGAATGCATGCATGTGAATATTAGTCTTAATTGGGAATTGTAATTACTAGAGATGTGAATGGGACGTAACAATTGAGAATTGTACTAACAGTAATATTAGCAACAACTTTGTACTTAAATTGCACAAACCAAAACCCTTGACGACAATCTATATGTGCCAAATAAACCTCACACAGACAATGAAATCATAATTTCATTCTTCAATACTCCAGAGAATTAATCATTCATGTCCAGTAATTAAAAATACCCAACCGTTTATTTCATTACAATAATAACAAGCATTACAATTACAACTACAAACAATACAAGTAATAAATGAAAAATCTTATCAAGTTTTTTTTTTTTTTTCACATCTTTGTAGCTTTCACGATCCACTATAGATTTCTCGCTTGTGCAAACTTCTTCTCTGATGCTTACTTCGTCGTCATTTATTGGATTAGCCCAACCAATAAATGCATGTCTATCACAAAAATAATATAGTTTCTGAAAATTTGCAGTTCGGGAACCAACAATCCTAACTTCAGATTTGATTCCACATTGATGACATATTTTTTCTTCATACTTCAATCTATTTGGTCATGGTCCTCTAAATTTCTTAGCGGTTGAAGTCTGTGACATTTTCAAACCTTCAAAAAAAAATTTAAAATAAAATGAAATGTCATTATTCAAGCAACCACTCAAACCCAGACCCAAATTCATAAGCAAGCTCATGTGCAGAGATTTCAAATACTGTTTCAAAAATAATAAATGAAACTAATCAAACAAATTACACATGCAGTGGGTAGCATTAGCATAAACCTCAAATTGAAAGCATCCTCTATTAATTACCGAATAGAAAGCTTTTATATCATTACACAATAATCAATCTGATTACCTAACAGAAAGCTTTTATATCAATAGACAATAATCAATCGTTTATTAGACCAAATTTACTAAGCTAACACCATCATCCATATAAGAGGAAGCTAGTTAAAATTTAAAGTAATAACACAAAATAAACATCGGAAAACCAGTAAGCTAACACCGGAAAAATCAAAATTTACATCAATCACAATATTCTCAACTAATATGCTTCTACCTCCTTTCAACTAATTCCAACAATTTATAAGAAAACTTCCTCAAAACAGATGTATGGTGAGCCCAAGGTATCTTTTTTATTTAATTTTCATTTTCTTTTATTATCTTTTAATTTTCATTCTTCTTCATCGTTTCCTTCACCCAACTTCTCAATATTCCAGGAAAATACAAAATTAACTCCATAAAAATAGCAAAAACATAACACTTCACCACAGTGAAACAGAGGAAATAACATCACAACAACTTGGAATCACGTAGTACCCTTAAGGAAAAAAAATCAAACAAAAAAAATATAATACTTCTAATTGGAAAGAAACGTAAGAAAATCTCATTAAACAACCAATTAAACAAATCAAATTTGAAGCTCAAAGCAACAAAGAGTGACGAACCCAAAGCAACAACTCACAATTTTCTTGAAGTCGGGGATGAATGGATGCTGCAACTTCTTGAGGTCCGACGATTTGAAGTCGGAGTTTTTGGGGTTTGGAGTTTTTTAAGTCGGTGATTTTGGAGTTTTTGGGGCCTGGAATTTTTTAGATCTGTGGTAATTTTGGAGTACAATTTTTGAGTAGATCTGTGGTTTTTAGATCTGTGTTTTCTAAGTCGACCATGGTTAGTTGTGGGTCTATTAAACAAAAGCTGAAACAATTTTAAAAGAAAAATACAGAGGAAAAGAAAAAAGAAGGCAAAAGTCAGTGCGATCCACGTGGCGGCGTTTGGTTGTTTAACAGTGAAAGTGGGATGTATCCGTAAGGGTAGCGTCGAACTAATCCTCTCTTATGTGTTGTTTTGGGATTTCTTTTAATGTTTTATTTTTTATTTGTTACTAGATATTTCTTTTTTGTCTGAAAAAATATCCCACTGGCCTCAAACGTGAATGAATGACTTTGATAAAAGCAACCACTTTTCTTTTTTCATACCTAAATTCCTATGCATTTGTTGCCTTCCATCCACTTCCTCTCATCTCATGTCAATTGCTGTATCATAATTTATTTAACTGCAAGTATGTTATCCATTTTGAAAAGGAAAATGATAGGTTTTAAAAGGAAATTATTATAAGTCATTGTTTTTCATTATGAGATGTTATTAAAAAATTTTAACGCATTTGGACAAATATCTCTATCCATTACAAAATCGGTAGAGAGCCTGGCATGCTGAAAATTGAGATAATTGACTGTCCCTTATAGTCAAATTAACTACACAAACAAACATAAAAATAGTTTGTAAACCAATTAATAAGCGTGACGAGTTTTACGACAAATTGGTCTATCACATAAATAATGTTTGACCAATTATCTTTGATTTTGAAAACTAAAAGTCGTGTTTTAACAGTCCTATGTGGGATCAATTTTGTGTAGTATAATTTATTTATTTTATCAATGTTTTTAGATGCGTTTGTGTGTATAAGTTTTTTTTTCGATAGTCTTTTGATGCAATTTTGGACCTATTTGTTTAAAATTTGGGAATACCTTCTTCAAATATATTTAGTATTACGAGTCTATTGTGTATCGCAACATAGAGATTCCTAGTCCATTAATAAAAACTTGAGATAGGGGTCATTTGTTAAACAATGAGAAAACAGTGGCATTTGAGCAACCTACCGAAAATTTTGGGACTATTTTGCGATTCCGAAAAAATGAGATTTCGTGTTATATAAACCCTTCTCTTCCAGCGTTCGTCGCAGCTAGGGTTTCGCTCATCTCCGCATTTTGCCAGAAGCTCCGCAGACTCGAGCAACAATGGTGGCCACCAAGAAAACCGTACGAATCTTCTATGGCCTCTCGATCTCTTGATTCTGAATTCGTGATTATCTTTCTTGTTTCAGATCATTACTTAAATCAATCTCTCACATTTCTTGGTTGGCTTGCAGAAGAAGACCCACGAGAGCATCAACAACAGGCTCGCTCTGGTGATGAAGAGCGGAAAGTACACGCTCGGTTACAAGACCGTGCTCAAAACTCTGCGAAACTCCAAAGGTTCCTATTTTTGTCCTTTTAATTTTATCTTCTCCCCGAATTTTTTCGTGCTTGGTCTTTATTCTTATTTTTTTTTTAGCTGAATTTGATGGCAGTTTGAATTTGTAAAATTTACCTTATGCAGGTAAGCTGATTCTCATCTCAAACAACTGCCCGCCCTTGAGGAAATCGGAGATCGAGTACTATGCTATGCTTGCAAAAGTTGGGGTTCACCACTACAATGGAAGTAAGCCCCAGAGTTTTACCTCCATTTTGAAATTTTTGCGTATTAGATAATTTAGTCCTTTAGTTTTGCACGGATTCTATATATTAAGGTCCAAAAATATTTTGGCTGATCATTTTATCCTGATTTTTTTTATATGGTTAGCATTGGGTATTTGTTTAATGAATTAAGAAGGCAGAAATTGTGTGTAGATGCAAGCGTGCAATTCTAATGTGCTTAGTTTCCTTTTCAAATTGTCAACCCCCCTTTGGTTTCAATTTTAAGCTTTTCAGACCTGCTATATTAGAGTTAATTTTAATTTTCAACATCAGTTATCTGATATATATTGATTTTGATCATGTATACTTACTTTGTTGATAGTCATCTGGTTGGATAGTTTGAGATGTGAATGCTTAAAGTCTAGTTTTTTATGTTACATCGAACATTTATATAATTATATTCTAGCTGCCTGCGGCTTTCATTTACTGATTACATTTCTGAATTGTTAAATAAGCGATAAAAGTTTGTGAGTTACGTGCTTGCTGTGGTTTGTGTAGAATGTGCTTTCAGTGTACATTAACTACATAGCAGTACTAGTTATGAACTGATATAATTGTTCAATTCATTACAATGCTTACGAGTATATGTATATTGTGAGGAAATTGTAATAGGTTGTTTTGCTGTGATCATATATTACCAATATCCTCTATGTATGCAACAAACTTAAACTTAATATGGGAAAATGCTGTTCTCCTTTTTGCTAATTCCTTACAACTTCCAGATAATGTCGACTTGGGGACAGCTTGCGGAAAGTACTTCCGTGTATCTTGCCTCAGCATTGTTGATCCAGGTAACAAATACACACTTATTGGTGCTTGTTTGTGTACTTTCTTGATTTTTTTGACTGATTTTATTTATTTATTTTCTTCTTAAAATGTAGGTGACTCGGACATCATCAAGTCTTTGCCTGGTGAGCACTGAGAAGAGAGTGATAGCTTTATGCATTTCAACAGTTCCAATCAATTTTTAAAGTGCTTCCGATATTCAGTTGTAGAACGGAAGTTTGGTGTTGGATTCAATGTGTTTTGTTTCCGTAGGGCAGTAAGGTTTTTTACCTTGCTTGTTTATGACAGACCATTAATTTTGCTATTGACATATGTTCTATGATGGGTGTAAGCTTTTTTATACTTTAGTATGTGTTCCATCTTGCTTGTCTGCTATATGACCAATTTTTATTATCGTCGTATTACAAACTTTGGGAATTTTGCACGTGTATGAGCAGATCTTCCGTGAAGCTAGTCGATTGACCTTTATGGAGCCATATCAATGATTTGTTGGTATTGATCGGTGTCTCAAATATATTTATTTTAGGACAACTCAATACACCATTTGTGAATGATTGTGGATGGCTTTGTAAGCCGCGTCCCATTGATGATTTTATAGCAAAATTGTATGCATGTGACTAATGGTAATGAGTTATAGAAGCACTTAAACAATGTTACAAGTAAGAACATAACCCCTACTAGTCTCCAAGATAGGAGATTATCCACTACATCAAAATAAAAATGACCTACTAAAACTACAAGCTAGCCACAAAAAGTTAATTTGCATTGAAATCTCATATTTGAGACTTCCATGCCAAACTCGAATGACTATTCAAGTTTAAAGCACACGATCATGAACTAGGTTTGATCTAAGATGACTGTTCTGTGGTTCGTGGTTTTGGTCCGTACTCAAGCAAATTGGTATGTGACCTTTTT